AAGGAGAGACAAGAAAGAAAGGACAGTAGAAGGAAGGAAAGAAAGAAGACATACAAGAAGGAAAGAAGAGAGAGAGAGAGAGAGAGAGAGAAGGGAAGCGCTATCCCAGGAAGGAAGGGGAGAGCGGAGAAACAGATGGCAATGCGTTTAATAAAAGCCTCTTCCAGCCCAGGAGTGACTCTGTAACACTTTTCAGAGGGGTTGGTTAAGGTCACACAGTCCCCCTCTCTCCGAGTCCTGCTGCCCCAGCCCTGGCCCTCGGTGCCTGTGCGCAAGGCCACCTTGGCTCCCAGCACGGCCGTTCGTACCCACCCCTACCTATTCCTGCCCCCGGGAGGCCAGTGCAGGGCCCAGACCCCCCTTTACCTTCGGCCACGGCCTGGTAGAAAGCTTTCCCGTTGACAGACAGCGCGTGGTGGCTCGGGCTGGGGGACTCCAAGTATTTGTGGGCCGCTTTCTCCCGGGCTGGAGGGTAAGTGTCCGGGTAGCGGCCCGGCCTGGGGCTGAGCCGCTGCTGCTGAGGGGGAAGCGGGTGATGCTGAGGGGGGGTCGGTAGTTTCTGGTTGCCCTGGAAGATGCGCCGCTGCAGGCCTGGAGCTGGGGGGGCTTTGCCTGCGGGAGGTGGCGGGGGTGCTGTCGGGCAGAAGGAGAGGCAGCCCTGCGCCTCCATGGCTGGCAGATCACGGGGCTGCGGGGACCCAGCCGCGGCGCTGATTTTGAGCTCAGAGTGGGGAGGGATCGCAAACCCCCTCCCCCCCAGAAAACCCGGCTCAGCCTGATTTAAACCACTAGGGATCCAGTCACGTGTGTCCCCCATCGAGTTTATTAACCCTCTAATCCCAGCCCAGCCCCTTGGGCTAATACAGAGAGACCAGGACTCCCCCTGGGCCTGTCCTGCCTTCCCTATACAGCCCGGTGGTCCTTATTACAGCCCGCACGTGTGGGAACTCAATGCTCCACCGCTTTCCTGGGACTGGCTGGAAATGTGCGGCCCAGTCACCCACGCCGGGTCTGTCTTTGTTTAAACCTTCATCCCAGCACAAGAAAGCACCCAGAGCTCCCAGCAGCTCCCCCTTTCAAAGGGATCTGCTGGATTTGGCTGGAAGAGCTGGGTTGAGGGTCCCGTTATGGCTTTCTCTGGGCTTGTGTCAGCGGTTGGTGTTTTAATTCCACGATCTTTTTTGTTTTGTTTAATTAACAGACGCCAATAACCGAACCCGTTTCTGCTCCGATTACGCTGCTTGTCTCATTGGCCCCGCTCCACTGGATCTTGGAGATGAGGAAGATGAGATTTTTGGCTTTTCTTCCCCACATCTCCCTTTGTCCTTATAGTCAATTTTCCTTCAGATCACTTGCACGTAATTAGCCCCCTGGTTTAGCTAATCTACATAGTAGATATTATAACCGACTAGCTCACATGCATATGGCACACACAAGCTAGATGGGTGTGCTCTGGCATAGTGTATCTCTCTCACACAGTCTATGAACTAGATGCCTATGGGAAGCGCTTGCATTATTCCACATTGTATACGGCAGGTACAGAGAGGATTGCGGTCAAAATGAGAAACCATCGTTTGAAAAATTAGTACTTTTTTTCAAGAGGGGCCCAACTGCGAAGCGAAGCTTCTTCCTCTACCTGGAGCGACAGAAACTGCCTCCCAGCCAAGCTAAGGCAACCCAGGAAAGACGGGCTTCCCTTTTCACTGTGCCCTAAGGGGCGCATTGTGTGATGCAATTGACACGATCTAGGAGGGACACGGACAGAGGTAAATCACCCCGCATCCATTCCCCGAGTGCCGCACCGGCCCTCGCACCGGGAGCGCCCTGAAACAGACACCAGGGCTTGCGAAATGGGGAGCGACTGGGAGAGACTGGGGGCGGGGGAAGACGGAGGACAAATGCTTCCTTTAAACTCCATCAGGGACACGCTGCTCCTTGCCTTGACGGCGACTCCCTCCTCTGCCGTCTTCAGACTGCGGGCGAACTCTTGGCCTCGTTTCAATCACTGCCAGGGGCTCCCAGGGAGCCCGAATTTCACCCGGCGCCTGTGTTCGCCCCACACATTCGCGGGGCAGGTGAGAAGTCAGGTTAATCCTTCCCTAGGCACATTTCTTCTTTGCCAAGGGCGATCTGATTTTAGCCAGGGCCTCTGCCTGGCCTGCACTGCCCATTCGGTGCTCTCCGCAGACAGCAATCGCCGGCCTGGCTGGCTTTGCTGTATTCGGTATGTTGGTAGCCTGCTTCCCTTACGGGGTCACGGTCTTCCTGGGTCAGGCTCCGCTGGGCTGGGGAAGGCTGAGTTCAAGGTTGAGTGTCTGGTTTTCAATTTCCACTGCAACCGCAAACCGGCCGTCTCCTGTTCGATTCCGATCAAGATACAGTTTGGAAAGTGAATCCCTGAGAGTAAAAGAGAATCGCCCCCTAAAATTTCAGGGCTTAAAAATAAAAAAAAGTGCCTTGATATGAAAATAAAACCAACCAACCAAAGCTCACCAAAACAAACGCCAGCCAAACATCCCCCGACTAACCAACCAATCAACCAGAAATAATAATACTAATTAATAATAAATATAAAAAGAAACACAAAACTTCCCAAGGAAACAAATACAAATGTGCCAACAAAACAAAAATATTCTCCCAATCCAAACGCCCAGACACGAAAAGCAAACAGAATCAAACCAAATAAAGAAAAAACCCAAATGGAGAGACAACAACCAACCAACAAAACAAACACTTTGTTTTATGTACAGCGCCTAGCACGACAGATCCATTGACTGGCTCCCAGGAGCAGCTATTGCAATACAATACATTTCTTCTTCTTCTTCCGAAGTTCTCTAAATCTCCCCCTCAACGAACATCAAGAAAGAAAAAAAAAGAGAGGAAAAATGAGCATCAAAAGCAATTCAACCAGAACAAGAAACAACACCCCACACTGCTGTTTTCTTCCCCCATTTTATGAACATCAGGTTCTGAGCTTTCCAATCCAAGCGGGCATTCAAATGCCTGTTGGGCGAAGGGGCGAACGCCTGTGGGCAGGGATGAGTAATGGTTGAAGGACAATAAGCTTCAGGTGTCTGGGGGGGGCGGGGGGATGCTCTTGCACATTGCTCACTAGTCTTGGGGAATAACACCAGCCATCCTGGCACAAATCAAAGCGCTGACACCAACATGAAAGAAGCAGGTGGGAGGGGGGAATGCAGCTCCTTACACACTCTGCGAGGAGGGAAGGGAAATATTTGCCTGACTTAACTGCGGGGAAAAGTCTCCTGTTAATTACAGCTGGAGGGAAGGATATGTGCTCTGCTGGCCATGTGTCTGCGCCTTTAGCCCATTGAAGTCAATGGAAAAGCAAGCCACTGACTTCAAAAGGACTTTGGCGCAGGCCCTATGCTGGTAACAGGCCCTTAGCAGGGAGCTGAGAACAGAGCTATAGTTTGCAGGTGGGCTAGGCAGGCAGGGGTTGGAATCCAGGTCCCCCATGGACCAGAGACTATAATGTTTATTTATAGCTTCATTGGCATTACAGGGTTAATATGATAGTTACAGCTCTATAAACACAAACAGCTGAAGGATGTAGTGAAACTATGGCCTGGTCTACATTTTAAACAGACTGGCATAGCTATGTGTCGGTCAGGGGGTGAGAAAACCAGGTAAGTGGCACAGCTAGTGGTTGGGAGATGGTGTTCCTTTAATGGCAGAACTCTTCCTGCTGTCAGGGTAGGGCGGTGCTAGGCCAGGGTGAGTATACAACATAGGCTCTGCAGTGTAGTCATGGCCTAACAAAGTGAATAAATAGTAGCTGGATTATAACAGTGGTAACACACTCGCACTTAGATCCCAGGCAATCTTATTGAAGCCCACCGCGATAGGTAGAGGCAGAATTAGGGTTTGAGCCTGCAAGCCTCACACAAGTGAGTCATCCTTATTCAGGTGAGTGGACCCGATGAGTGAGGGTCCGCATGACCTTCTGTAAGAGATTTGGAGAGTTAAAACTCAGCCTCAGCAAAGCACTTCAGCATGTGAATCAAGTTCAGGGTGTGCTTTAGCGCTTTGCTGAATTGGGGCCTGTGTCAAGGAGAATCAGTGAGAAATAGATAGAGTGCATGAGCTTTGTGTGTGAGGTATTAGATCTAGAGATACTTTCCTGAAAGGCTTTAAATTCTATCTATCTATCTATCTATCTATCTATCTATCTATCTATCTATCCCCA